GAAGCAGACGCTTAACGACTGAGCCACCCAGGCACCCTGGCCAGATGGGTTTTCAGGCCTTTTTGTTCAGTGGTGAAAATGCTCTGGATCGCCGGCTGTTGCCAGAGAAGCTTCAGATGTTTATGGAGTCCAGAGTGGGATCTTTGCATGCCTCTCATGTTGTTAGGTTATGTTTAGAAAGTCCTTTTCCATCCACAAAATGATTTTTTCCCCAAATTCCCTATTTTAATTATCATTAAAAAAGATTCATCTGGGACATTTGGAATCTATCGGTGTGCATGATTCAAAGGGATGTCCCTCCCCCACCTCCCCAATAACTTGTTGGGGTCTCACTGCTGTTTATTGCAGAAATTCACTCCTTTGGCTTTGATTTGGGGTCTGTTTCTGAATAGCCATCAATATGTTCCTGTACCAGGCCTGCTACTGTTCTAATCACTATAGTTTTATAATGTTTTTGTAACCAGGAAGGCATGCTCCAAACACACACCCGTTACTTTTTTATTGTTTCGACTCTTTCATACATCGTGAAATTCCCTGGGAAGAGTTAGTGAGCATGAGATCGAGGTGGGAGAAAGTGATGGGGGTGGGGGTGGGGGTTGCTTAATGGTTGTATCACAAAAGATACAAGGGAAGGGAGAAAGGAGGGTTTTCTCGCCTGAGCCCAAAGCTGTCGGGAAGCCACACAAGGTGAGTCCTGAGTAGAATCCATGGAATTGTCCATGAGAAGCCATCAGAGCCCTGGGGAGGGACCCTTCCGAGGCACAGGTGTTGGGTTGTAGGGTAGCAGAAGGTGAGAGTGGAGGCCACACGTCTTCTGAGAGGTTGGGCAGTGAAGGGAAAGAGAGCCTCGTTGTTTGAGGATGGGGGAGGGTTCAATAATTATTATATTGTGGAGCAATCTTGGGGACGTCGGTAGGTCAGGGAGAGAGAGAGAAGCTAAATCACAAAGTTGGGGCAAAGTCTCAGCAGAAGTAGAACGACTGCCTGTGGGTTTGGAATTTCGGAGAACAGGGAAGTTTCTGAGGTGGGGGTGGGCGGCAGGTAAGGGTGAATACGCTGGGAGCAATGGCTTTGAGGGGGGGTTGGCATCCACGGTGGCGAGGCCAGAAGAGGATGTCTAGGATCTACGTTAGAGGCCACACGGCTACAGGGGAGCACTGTCATTCTCATGTTGGAGACCAGAGAAGTTACTTAACTTACCTAAGGCCACACAGCTAATGAAAGACAGCTGGGGTTCGTGCCAAGTCTGAGACACAAAAAAGGCATATTTTTTTGAGGGGGGGTGGTTGTCCCCTCTGTTTAGAAACAGTTAAGCCACTTGTAGTTGGGGCACCAGGGAAACAAGGAACACGCTTTTATTATTCCTGTGCTGAGGTCTCCAAATTTAGGTGCTTGTTTGAAATGCTCCAGGCTCTTGTGTCTTGTGATATAATTTAAGACATTCCTCTGTGGATTTATTTCTGTACACATTTTAGTCAAAATATCCAGAACGGTATTATCTGCAGAAATGTCCCTGGTGTGAGCAGTTTTTTGTGTTTTTTTGTTTGTTTTTTGTTTTTTTCCCTAATCTTTTGCTTTTGAGAACAGACTTGTTTTTTCAGCACGGGCCTTTTGTCAGAGGGGAAGGTGTGGCTCTGTACATATTGCTGTGACCGACACCTGCTGAGGTACCTGGTTCCTGGCATCTGGCTTGGTCGTCACCTGCTCCTGGTGTGTGATCAGTGCCGAGGTCCCCTAGGCGAAGCATTGTCCTGTCCTAGGAGTAGCTGGTGAAATGAGTGTTCTTTGAACCAGCGCCCCTGTCTGCTGAGTACCACTCCGCTCTCGCCTTTTCTTTTCCCCTCAGTTTCTTTTATTGTGGGAAAATACACATAATATAAAACTTACCATCTTAAGTTTTTTTTTTTTAAAGATCTGATATTTTTACTTATTATTATTTTTTAAAGTAAGCTTGATGCCCAACGCGGGGCTCCAACTCACGACCCCGAGATCAACAGTCACACGCATGCTCTACCATGTCAGCCAGCCAGGTGCCCTGCCATCTTAAATATATTTAAGTGCGTAGCCCAGCGGCACGAAGCACACTCACACTGTCCTGCAGCCACGCCCACCCTCCGTCTCCAGAACTTTCCATTTCCCCCAAACTGAGACTCTGTCCCCATGAAGCACGGACTCCCTGCCCCCTGCCCCCTGGCTCCCACCCTCTACCTCCTGTCTGTGGATGGGACTCTCCTCGGGTCCTCATAGAAGTAGAATACTACAGTATTTGGACTTCTGTCACTGGCTTATTTCGCTGAGTCTGATGTCTTCAAGGTTCATCTGTGTTGTGTGTGTGTCGGAACTCTCCCTTCTTCAGGCTGACTGGTATTCCATTGTGTGGACGAACCACATTTACTTATCATCATCCATGGATGGGCACGTGGGTTCCTACCACATTTTAGCTACTGTGAATAAGGCTGCCGCGGACGTGGCTTTTTAAATGCTTATGTTACCTTGTGACCCTGGCTTTTGAAGGCTTATTTAATGTGCTGTGAGACTCGAGCACAAAAACAGACCCAAATGAACCTTTATAGGGGATGCTCCCCTGTCTTAGGTGACGGACACTGGCCTATGAAAAACTGTCAACTCGTTTAGTTCTCTAGAATCCTCCCAAACACTTCCTGGAGGGCCCAGAGCCATTGTCTTTTTCTTGCATGATTGTCAGGCTTTGGAAGCTTTTGGGGTCTGGCCAGTGTTTGGGATGAAAGTGTTGGATTGTTCTCTGGACCCAGTTTATGCATTCTCTACAGTGTGCCCTCTTCTACCTGTTCTCAAAACAATGACGTTTTAAGCAGAGAAAGCAAAGGAAGATTAAAGGAAGGTCAAGGTAATTAAAAGGGAAAAAAAAAATCACTGTAGTGTGCGGCTGGAGGTGCTTCCTCTCTGTCGCCCTGCCCGTGGATTTGGGGTGCAAATACCAGGAGAGGCCAAATGCGAGGGGGCCTTGAATGGGCAGAGTGGAGATGGAGTTTATGCAGGCTGGGTCACGAATTACCTTTATTGAGAGCCTACTATGTGTCGGGCATTGGGGTCCTTGGGGCCGCAGGGTGGGAACCAGCCCCCCGCCTCCTCGGAGAGGACCTTCTGGTGGCAAATACTGACCTTGAATATGTGACGACACACTTGCTAGGAGAGTTACAGGAGAGGGCTCTGTGGGTGGGAGCACGGGTCGAAGCCCCAAACTTGCCTTCAGGGTCCGAGAATATCTCCCCTCCCCCAAACTGGTGTGTCATGAAGACCCCGAAGGTCGGCCTCACTGACCCTTTCCCAGGTGGTTACAAGAACTACTTGGAGTCCTGTTTTGCTCTTCACTGGTCATGAGCCGGTTCAAGCCTCTGTCTCCTGATCCAAAAGATGGGGACAATGATGGGACCTGCTTGTCAGAGTTGCAGGTTGAGAGGAGGTGCGGTGGTGTAGGGGGTGCATTTAGCGCTGTGCCTGGCACTCCGTGAGTGTTCTGGAAGCTTCCTGGGAGCACCATAGCTGCGCTCCGCTTCTGAGCAGACCCGCCTGCCAGGGTTTGGCTTTGGCTCTGATTTTGGGCTT